TTTTTTTTTTTTTTTTTTTTCTTCCTAACAATTCGTTTTCTATTAATAATATTTTAAAATATTATAATTTGTAAAAATTATTATTAGTACTATAAAACATTAAATTTTATAATTGATTTAAATTCTGATACACTGCGCCTCTACTTTAAAAAATTTTATTTTATTTTTTCTTTTAATGAAATTTAATACGCTTTTGTATTATACTATGGCAATTAAAAGTTATTTAAATTAAATAATAATTTATAATATAATCGCATTTATTGAATTATAATTGTTTTAATATAATGGCGGAATAAGTCACGTGCTTCTTCACGTGTGGCAACGTTCGTGGTTTCTCTTTCCTCGTGTAGTAGCGCGTGTTAACATGTATTGATATTTTTCCTCCATTCGGAATAGGAAGAAGATAAACGAGAAAAATACGCTAAAAATGATCATCGAATAAAACTTTTACCTATAATTACATTTGATACCTTGTGATTGATTCTTTTACTAAATTTTTACAAGGTTTCATGTGTCTAATACGTAAATAAAGGCAATTTCCCATAGAAATCCTCCCGGGAGGAAACCCCTCGACTGATCCCCACGTTGCCTTTTCTTATACCCAGAGCCGGACTTTCACATAAGCTAAATAAAACGCATCTTAGCGCCTCACGCTGCGAGTCTATAGCTTAGTGTTTCACATTTTTACATTATTATTTAGTGAAAGGGAATGGCCCGTTTACATTACGATGGCAAGTTTAAGTCCATCCCAACTTATACCGTACTAAATTACATTTAAACAAATCTCGAGTCTCTATAATTAAAACAATTCATAGAACTTACCAACTGTATCTTTAAATGAGATCCTTCGATCAAAGTTTTATCAATTTTGTAATTGAATCTCTGCGAAATGTCTGTACTTATATATAAATCGCTACCTGAAAAAAAACCTTGAAACTTCAATGAAATTCAATATGGTATGTAAAATGTCACAGCCAATTAATGAACCTTAAATAAAATCCTTTTGTTTTAAAAGATTTTTTCCTTGAAAATGAAGCATTCGATACGGAAGTTGATCCATAACATTTTTTTTTCGCTGAATATTTTGCATTTTTTTTTTTTCTCAATGCTTTTAATAAGAAAAAAAACCCCGTTAAGTAATCGCTGTTGCATACAGCTTGCATTTTATGTATATAAGAACTAGATTTCACCAGATTTTTATCGGTAATTTATTTTTGTAATTATTAAATCTTATCAATAAAAGAAAGAAAAAAAAAAAACCACATATCTTCCATCAGTTCTAATTCAGATTATAGATAATAAATTTAAATTTAGATCTGATTATCGTAAAGTTATTTATATTTAATAATAGTGTTAAAAATCACAACTTAATTAGCTACGTAGTTATGTCATAATCTGTGAGTAAATTACCTCGAATAGATCTTTTAGATCACCGCACCCAAAGGTGGGTGGTTGACCTTAACCTTTACTAACGTTGGTGTCGAAATCAGACTAAGGAATTCCACCCTTTCTTCGTGTTTACATAATATTAAATAATGTTTGTAACTCCTAAATGTGTTAACATTTTAATAAAAAAAAAGATTTCTAATCCTACTTCTTCAAAAAAATGTTTAATAGCAGATATCGACATTAATTCTCTTTTTCAGAAGAAAACATATCTCGCCGAGTTTCTTGGTGTTCTTCATTCAAGAGTTCTTGGAGTTTTTCTGTCATCAGATTCGTTTCAGGTTCCATTATGAGCTCTTCAATGTTCTTTACTTCTCAGATGTGATTTTTGTTACTCCTTAAGCTGCTTGATAAGAAAGATACTGTATTGATAATACAGTATCTTTCTTAGATAAGATCGAACTGCGGCCTACCGTAGACCAGTTCGAGCCATACTGCCCGGCAACATCAGACATCTGCCCACTCTCTCTCTACCTCTGCTATTATACTCTCACCTTTCGAAAATAAAAACCGACGTAAAACTTAACGTGTGCCTGCCCGACGGTCTCGAGAATAGTATAAAAAAATTGTTTCTTTCAGGAAAATAAAAGGCTGGAATTACAAGGGAGAGTTTTAAAGTTTGGAGGAATACTATCCAATCAGTATATACCGAGTTGAGCGTCGATAAGGGAAGACCAATTGGTATTCATTATATTACGTCGCTTCTTGTCTTCTGTGAGGTGTTCGTTGTCCGAACATAAAAATCTTTCGCGAAAGTGTTCGTTATCCGATTTGATTCGGTTAACGAACAGTTCGTTAACTGATCACCTGTATTTCTCTTTCGGGTCACTAAATGATAGCAATTTGTAAATGACAGAAGAAAGAAAATGTTACCCTGTTGCTGACATGTAACTTTAGTACGTAGTTAGGCCTATGATGGTTGTATCTGTATTGAGTCTGTACAACTGTGTTCTGTTATTATTTCCTGTACAATACAGTATAACAGCTATTTACACAGCATTAACATTGTATTAAGTATTATATAGAGATTACTTAAAGTATACTGGAAGATGCAAATAAGTTATATTCAAGTACTGTGCTATTTTATGTACCAGGACTTAATCAGGAGCTTTGCACATTNTTTTTTTTTTTTTTTTTTTTCTTCCTAACAATTCGTTTTCTATTAATAATATTTTAAAATATTATAATTTGTAAAAATTATTATTAGTACTATAAAACATTAAATTTTATAATTGATTTAAATTCTGATACACTGCGCCTCTACTTTAAAAAATTTTATTTTATTTTTTCTTTTAATGAAATTTAATACGCTTTTGTATTATACTATGGCAATTAAAAGTTATTTAAATTAAATAATAATTTATAATATAATCGCATTTATTGAATTATAATTGTTTTAATATAATGGCGGAATAAGTCACGTGCTTCTTCACGTGTGGCAACGTTCGTGGTTTCTCTTTCCTCGTGTAGTAGCGCGTGTTAACATGTATTGATATTTTTCCTCCATTCGGAATAGGAAGAAGATAAACGAGAAAAATACGCTAAAAATGATCATCGAATAAAACTTTTACCTATAATTACATTTGATACCTTGTGATTGATTCTTTTACTAAATTTTTACAAGGTTTCATGTGTCTAATACGTAAATAAAGGCAATTTCCCATAGAAATCCTCCCGGGAGGAAACCCCTCGACTGATCCCCACGTTGCCTTTTCTTATACCCAGAGCCGGACTTTCACATAAGCTAAATAAAACGCATCTTAGCGCCTCACGCTGCGAGTCTATAGCTTAGTGTTTCACATTTTTACATTATTATTTAGTGAAAGGGAATGGCCCGTTTACATTACGATGGCAAGTTTAAGTCCATCCCAACTTATACCGTACTAAATTACATTTAAACAAATCTCGAGTCTCTATAATTAAAACAATTCATAGAACTTACCAACTGTATCTTTAAATGAGATCCTTCGATCAAAGTTTTATCAATTTTGTAATTGAATCTCTGCGAAATGTCTGTACTTATATATAAATCGCTACCTGAAAAAAAACCTTGAAACTTCAATGAAATTCAATATGGTATGTAAAATGTCACAGCCAATTAATGAACCTTAAATAAAATCCTTTTGTTTTAAAAGATTTTTTCCTTGAAAATGAAGCATTCGATACGGAAGTTGATCCATAACATTTTTTTTTCGCTGAATATTTTGCATTTTTTTTTTTTCTCAATGCTTTTAATAAGAAAAAAAACCCCGTTAAGTAATCGCTGTTGCATACAGCTTGCATTTTATGTATATAAGAACTAGATTTCACCAGATTTTTATCGGTAATTTATTTTTGTAATTATTAAATCTTATCAATAAAAGAAAGAAAAAAAAAAAACCACATATCTTCCATCAGTTCTAATTCAGATTATAGATAATAAATTTAAATTTAGATCTGATTATCGTAAAGTTATTTATATTTAATAATAGTGTTAAAAATCACAACTTAATTAGCTACGTAGTTATGTCATAATCTGTGAGTAAATTACCTCGAATAGATCTTTTAGATCACCGCACCCAAAGGTGGGTGGTTGACCTTAACCTTTACTAACGTTGGTGTCGAAATCAGACTAAGGAATTCCACCCTTTCTTCGTGTTTACATAATATTAAATAATGTTTGTAACTCCTAAATGTGTTAACATTTTAATAAAAAAAAAGATTTCTAATAGGGTAATATGAAAATACGATAATATATTTTTTTTTTATTAAAAACAGTTCGTACAAAACTTTGGCAACTGTCATTGTTTTTCTAAAATCTGGCATTATATTCCATTATGTATAATTATTTTCATTTGTCATAATTGTTACCAAGTATAAAATATTGTTAAAAATGTTAATGGTTTTTATAGCACATAGTTTGTTGTATTTTTGAATTTATTCACGATATTGTTATTCCAAGTATGATTCCAAGAATGACGCCGACGGTGACAACTCCCAATATAATCCAAAGGACGATAAGGTGACCCTTACAGCAGACTTGATCGACTGAATAGGAATCTTCACTTTTACTACTATATCCTGGTGGCGGTGCACGGAACTTGTAAGGGTCACGTACAGGGAGAGGTTCCGCTCCTGCAGGAAACACCATAGGTCTAGGTCGCATCATGGGTGGTAAAAATTGAGGTGGTATAGGAGTCGGCGGAGGAGGCATTGGATAAGAATGAGGTGCTAGAATCGGAACTGAACCATGAAACGATTTCCTTTCTAACGTAGGCTGTGGTGGATGTAACATAACAGCGTGTGGAGGAGGTACAACGGCACTCGGTGCATAATAAGGAGCTCTCATATCGAACATAGATCCGTACCTACGTAAAGTACCACCCGGTGGTGGACAGGGAGGATAAAAATGTGGTCCGTGTCCGTGAACTGGGCACGGTTCTCCGTCCCATGTAGCTAATGCTAGTGCTGGTACACTACGAGTCGAGCGGAGAGTTCCGTTTCTTAAAGTTCCCATGGCGTAATTGTCTGCGTGAGGAGGATAGTAATTCCTATCCGAACGATTTGCATATCTAGGTCCACCACCGGTATGTCGCATCATTGGCACTTCTTCGCGATCGTCGGTAGAGGTTGATGTAAGGGAGGGCGAAGAGGGACGAGTGTTATGGGTTGAATAGTTCATATCTCTATGGCGCCAAGCCATGGGAGTTCTCTGTCCGGAATAATCCACAGAATGGATCCGACGCCTCTGCCTGTCCATAAAATTTCATTAAATTGGATGTTAACCTGAAAAACATAAGCACCATCAGATACAATTAATTAGTTTATAGTATATTAAAACTATTACAATAATTAAACTATGAATAAAAACTTTTTTCATACAGCAATAATGTTTAATGTACACGTTTCAAAGACAGACAGGAGGACATATTTGGCTAAGACAAGGTTAAGGGGCCGTGGCCTTAGGGGTAATGACATTAAAAAAAAAAAAACAGATTATAAAGGAAACTATATCAACAGGAGAATAAATATCATACATGACTAGACCTTAATTCGCAAACAACCATTAAATGCCATATTGAAAGTCTGAATAATGTGAAGTAGAAGAATTATTAATCTACAACAATTACCATTAAGTGATATTTTCAATGAAACTTTCATGCTTGAAAGATAATAATAATTGCTTGTTTTTCAAAATTTCTACACTTATTACTATAATTAGCAATTCATCATACAAATTAAGCCAAAATGCCCTATCTTAAGTATACATTTTATATCGATTTCAACATATATGAGGGCGAGAACAAGTAATTTATCGAAGCGTCACTTATTTCTAATTAACCAACCGTTCAACTCTTATATTTTACATACATATGAGTTTATTTTTTAATTAGTCGCATACTTCCTGGTCGAATCACTAAAGAACAAAAAGGAAAAATTCGGTTTTCCCAATTAACTCGTGTTTTTATGGAATGACATAAAAATGTCTGGAAGGCACAGCGTTTATAGAATACCTCCCACATGTCATCCAGTCAAGGCTAACAGGTAATCATACAGAACAAGTCGTTTCTTCAGAATCATATAAAATAATCAAAGAGATTTTCCAAAATTAAAAAGAAATACAGTTTTTTTTTTCTAACAAGAAACTTCTTTAAAATGTTCCCCTCCAATAACTTCTGCAATAGACTCCATGAACCTTATCAATATATTTAATAATACTTTCACTATAATAAGATTTATTACACTTTTCTATTTTAAGCTTGGGAATTCGGCACAGAAATTTAATGGAGGTGCAAAAGGGTGTAACATACAGCAAACGCCATAAAAAAACTAAGTTCTGGAAGAAAAGAAAATTCACCAAAAAAATGCCTAGAGCATACCTTTTAAATTGTCTTGAAATTCAAATGGCTTTTACTAGATATAAAAATTTTCTATCATGCACGCAGTTAAGCCCTAAAAATTCTAATCAGAATGGATAATAAATCAGGACAGGACATATAATAATGGATTAAAACTTTCGTCCACAAGAGACATTGAATAGAATCATCCATCCGTGATGACCAATTTATGATCTTTTCTATTTAACCTATTTTAAAGGGGTTAAACTCATTCTCAATCAAAAGAACCCGCGTTTTAATCGCCGAAATTAACGCAAGCCGAGTAATTGAGACAGAAAAAAAAATATTCTTCCGGTAAATTATTTAATAATATTTTTCCTCCCCCAATAACAAGCCCAAAATGTAATTGATATCGCACGTATATAATGCACATCATATGCCATTAATATCAAGAACATAATCGCCCAATATGATTATGGCAGTTGGTTAGGTGTAAATAAAAGTAACCGGATCTGGTAGACATCAAAACTTTCCCATTTCTTCAATAGAGCAGGTTTTCTCAATGACGTGTAAGTCTAAACCGTTTTAAACACTTACATTAACGCTCTTGTAGAGAGTAAAGTACTTTTACTGTTACAAAAAACGACATTACCTGTAAATTCCTGTACATCCAAGCTTCACAATAAGTATTAAAACTTACATTGCTATCGAACTATCGACCAGAGGTAGACTTCGGCCATTTCACATTCAAAAGGGATTACACACACACACACAACCTGTTGTTGCGGCTAGTCATGTACGCATGCGTTGCTTCAGGCATTATTTCCAAGTACAATGACACTGTCTTACGTATAAGCTGATTGAAGTTCTTTAAAAAAAGTTTAATTTTTCGAATTATTTCCTTTTGGCTACACCTTATAATTATTTATTCGTATAATTCATTATAATAAATAGTTATTAAGACTTTAAAAAGTATAGAAAATGATAAAAAATTATCTGATTGGTCAAATTTAAATTTTCGTAACGTCTTTATTGGCTGATTTAAATTTTTAAATTTAAATAAAACGGAATTTTATTAAAGCGAATAACTTGATTGGTCGATTTAAAATTCAAATGCTTTAGGAGTAAAATATTTTGTAGTTCGTTTGTTTGTATTATTTCGTAGAAAAACGTGGATGAAAACATTCCTAATATTGTTTAAATGGTATTATTATTATTATTTTCTTTTTAGTATTTTTACAATAAAATGTTTCATTGAACACTTCCGAAACTTTTTCAGCGTGTTATATACAATATTTTTACTGAGAATTTTGAATATAATTTGTAATTAATTGCGATTTAAAACTAGTTAGTAACAAAAAGAAAATCAGGTCAGAAAATTTTATTTTCAGGACATATTTTCTCTCGTCTTATAACAATAGAATGACATTTTTAAAGATTTTATAAGAAATCTATGGCCTAAAAAGTCTTGCAATTTCATCTTTAAAGATAATAAATATAATTTAAAATGATGATAATAAAAAAAAAAATAAAATAAATAAACTGGCATCCATCTTTATATATCAGAAAAAAAGAAAAATTATGGTTATAACTTTAATTTATTTTTCAAAAATAACCAATCATACAGCCATAATATTTTAGAGAGATTTTAATACGTGATTTATATAGTTTCTCCTTTATTTATATTTATTTTTAATTTCCAAAAAATTTAATTTATTTAAGTAAAAACCTGGACAATAACTACATAATTGTTAGGAACAGGAGAACATTACACAGTTTGGTATATCTAATTATTTATGCGTGTAATTTAATCTATAAAGCCTTATTGATCAGTTTTTAAGTAGAAAGAAAATTATTAATGGTAAATACGAAGAAAATTTTGCTGTCTTCTTACATATTTTCCAATCACAGGAACTAAACACAGGGTAGAATCGACCTTTTCTTTGTGGCTCCCTTCGACTCTGTCTTATGTTAATGCGTGTTCTTGTGATGGAAATTAGTCTTCAGTTTGTATTATTTTTTAATTATATGAATTTTTTAACGTTTACAAGAATTATTAATGGAGTAAATTTTAATCACACGTAGATTAGATTCATTAGTAAGTTAAAGAAAGTAGCTTATGATGTTACGTATTGACAGATAAATGGATCTAATTTATCGCATTCGTAATCGTTCCATAGAAATGCCATTTCTTGCAACATTTCTGCACAGTTTTGTTCTCCTCCGCTATTATTAGGTTGTTCTTTACCCCATTTATTAAAACCGGGAGGAAACGATCTTCCATCTACATATACGAACGTATCGTTAGTTTTCATTACACCCACCCAACCTCTAATTAATTTCTTAGATTTTAATAACAATATCAAATCTTCGTGGTCTTGATCGCTCATGGGCATTGCAACAACGGCATTTTCTTCTCTGCACGTTGCTTTTGCATCTTCGAACGTTTTCGGTGTTTCAAATAATTTATACTTTGCTGGAATAAAAAAAAACACAGATAAAGATTAAAATTAATTTAAAAAAAACTAAATTTTTGAGGCCTTCGCGTAGAGATTGGCCCCAAAATATAGTGACATAAATTAAATTCTCGTTTGATAAGCGGTGGGGGGGAAGAATTGGAGAATTGAAGACGGATTTTTTTTTTTTGTATTACTTTAATCGAGTTATGAAGAAAGTTTCTTTGAGTCGAGAGTTAATCTACAGCGAGTCGATTTTATGTCAGTACATTTTGTATTTCGTGACTTTCTCGGGAGGCAACTGATCGTTGTGTTGATATGCCTGTGATATATGTGGCAGATAGATATAGTTTTGATCAAAAGTTTTTCCTTTCTATATATTTTGTAGAAGCAGAACTGATTATTAATGTGTAATTTCTAAAGTTTGTTCGTGATATAAAGTATATTATTATTATTATTGTTAGTGTTAATTCATCAAGATGAGTAAATTTAAAGACTGTGTACTGTACAATCTGCATTCAAATAAGCTACACGTGTGATATGACTAACGATAGGTCCTAGTTTAAATAATTACTGAAACACCTTTTTTAAATTATTAATTTTTGAATGTTTAACAATTATACGTTGCTGTTGTTTTAATTTTTTATTCACCAATTATAATTTTCATTTAATTTATTTATAATCTAATACTACACTCCAGAGAATATCTTAAATTGAATTATTATTTTATTTGATTAACGCTTCTATCTGTTATATTTATTAATTGTTATTGATTAGAAATGACATTTGTATAGTGTTATATTTGAATAATGTAAGACTGTAGTAGATAGATAACGTAGAACACACAATAATCAATAATTTTACCGTATTTTTTGTTGATATTTCTTACCTTAGTTTTAATTATAAGCTTTACAGGCTTATTATGTATAAGCAAACAATCATCTAGATAATTCGTCACCCTTTAAGTGATGTTCTAGTATATGGTTTACTGTTAGAAAAATCATAAATAAAACAATTTCTATATAATACGAGTCTTTGAAATGATGTAAATCTGTTTTAAAAACTATAATATGTGTGTTAATGTTATTGTCCTCTTTCTAACTATCGATACGCTTGATCATTTGAATAAAAAAAAAATGTACTTTTAAATTAAAAAGCAACAGAATTCGTGTCAATTGATCGCAATGAGCAATGTCCAACAATGTTAAAATCTTGTGGGGGATCGTTTACTTTTCCACTGTTATATATAACAGCCGGGAGATGCCGATATATTGATAATTAAATCATCTTAATTAGTACTGTATATAACTATTTTCCCACGCACATAACTCATTTACATATGAGGATAATCCCGTGCATCTTTTTTTATTTTACGTATTTTTTTAAGTTAAACCATTCTGATATTGTCACAAAATGATGCGAGTATCAAAAAAAAAACTTTCTTTACAATTTTCCTGTTAATTGTACCATTAGAAAAAGAAAAAAAAATTACTTAATGGTTACAAAAATAGGAAATTTCCGACTGAGGAATGACTTGTTATAGTTTGTGATAGTAAATATATTAATTAATTAGCATAAGTTTTCTTTTAAATACTTAATAGTCTAACAATCTTCCTATAACAACATCATTAATTCTTATCCTTAATTCTTGTAAGGTGAATAAGAATATCGTTATAGGAAGAGGAGTATTTTAAGAGGAACATACAGGAATTTTAATATATTTTTTATAAGTCAAGCTATAAAAGAGATTAACTAGGTCGTTTGGATGGGGGCTCGGACCCAGATGATCTCAAAATTTAGTATTTTATGTAAAAAAATTACAACGAAAGTGATATAAAGTGTTTTTTTTATTGTATTATCGATTTTATTTATGTTTTTCGGAGAGGTGTGGAGGCCCACGTTTATAACTGTCCTCAATTTACTTCTCTCAGGCTTTGTTTAACGTTCTTCACGTAAATTAATACATGATTTTGTCATTTAATTCCAATACCAATGTCATTTTGAATTATATGATTAGTTTATTATATAAATGTTATCATAAATTACCATTTTATAAACATAACAAAGCTTAAACTTACGACATTTTACCGAACATCTTCCCATTTCCAAACACATTCTTGATCTCCTGAATTCATCCTGTATTAAATTATCAATATATTAATTAAAATACAATAGATCCGTCTTTAGAATGTTAGTTTAATTAAATAGGATTTATAAAGTGTAATTAAATACGTATAAGATAAGAATTAACTTACCTCCTGGTACGGATAATCCAATAAATCAAAGTATTTACCTCCTTGAACATCAACTAATTGATGCTGGTAATCAGGATCACAAAGGTATGTATTGAGCAAATAACATGTAGAATTGTTGTAATTAAAAGCCATACAATTCGGTTGTTGTCTTCTATGACTTAAACATAACGTTAAACATTCAGTTAAAGTTATCCCTTCGGCCATTGTAAATGGTTTAACATCCAAAATTTTATCTTGCCTGTTAATTGAAGCTGCAAATTTCAGCAATTCCTCTTGAGTCTGTTCGAGTTTAATTCCTTTAGTTAATAGGAATAAACATATGCAAAATACTTTCAATACAGAATTCATTGTTAGTAACAAACTATTTTCTAAACACTACGAGATAGATTTAACATACAATATACTTAATTCCCCTGTTTTAAAATAGGGACTGGTGAAGTATTGTACCTTCTTCTACTGCACACATATATGTATATATTATTATTATAATAATCTCTCTCTATACAACACTAGTCAGTCAGTCGATATTTGTTCATTATTAATGAAGCACAATAATTGCTAACAATTAAATTTACTAAAATTGGATTATCTAAAACCTTATCTGAAAATAACCCATAATCAGTTGGGGTAAATTAAATTAATGTTGTGTGAATAATAATAAGGATAGAATCGTGCTGCTTTACTGAATGATTTGGCAAGGTAATATGATTGATTATTAATAAAAATTAAAGGAAAAAAACATATTAATTCTATTTTAAATCAATTAAATTAACTATCAAATCAAGTATTTTAAACATAAAACATTGAAAAATTCCAACTTCAAACTAATAATTTCTATGGAAAAAAAGGGGTATTATCTGTAAATCCATCGAGCGTAACTTTACTCAAAATGAACGTTAATTAAGTTAAATTATGGATACTTTTTTTAATATTTTAATAATAAAAAATAAAGCTAAAAATATTCGTGTTTAAACGAAGTGTAAGAAGCAAATTTCTGGTAATAATACAATATTCTTTACAGTTAGAAAAGATGGCTTAATCTACGAAATTGCTAACTATTACGGTCATTTTATATCATTAATATCGTCTTAACAAGATTATAACTTTATTCATTATATATACGAATAGATCTGTGAATAATATATAAAGTTTTATTCAATATTATTGTTATATAAGGGAAATTTATATACGATTTAAATCAATATACAGTAGACTCCATCTATAACACTGTAGATAATTCCGTTTTATATGAATTCCGTGTTGTACGAGTCACTTAGATTTTACAAATACCGTGTGACGGGCTCAGGTATTTGTAAAATCTAAGTGACTCGTACAACACGGAATTATCTACAGTGTTATAGGGGAGGGTCTACTGTAACTGTAAGGATTATATGTAAAGTGTGGCTCCATCTATTATTCGATAGTGATAATAAATAAATTTATTTAACAAGGATTTAGTCAGTTCTCCACCCCTGATATCATTTTTATTTCGTGTGTTATCGAATAATAATCTGTAAATAAAATATAGGCCTATAGAAAAATACGAGACTTGTATTAAAACAGAGAGAATGGGAGGGGAGGATTTAATTTTTATTATTTTTATTCGATTTGTTTAAGAATTATTAATAAATAAAGCAATTTTATGTCGTTAATTTTAAGATAAAAGTGAAATAAATATACTAGATTACACCGTAATAATACTGGATAAAATAGGAGGAGGTTAAAAGAAGAGAAAATGACAAGTCTAGAGCATCAAGTGTATTTGTCTAAGCATTAGAAATCATATAAATAACTATAACTTATGAGATTTTTAGTGCAAAGATGTCCTATCCTTAGTTAGGTGTTGTTAGGGGGATCTCAGAAATATATTATTTAGGAAATTTGGACAGTCTACACAGGTGTAAAAAGAAAAAAACTCACTCCTTCGACTGGATCTATTATTTCTTGTTAGTAAATTATTTGAAAAACATAATTAGTAAGATTATTCTAACGTTTTAATATTGTAATATGGATTTAAGATGTGATGTATCGCTTACGTGATAACCTTTACTTCTATTTAAAGTACGTTACCGAAAGATAATCTTGATATAAATAATAGATATTCGCATCTGGTGTTAATTGTTAAACGTAACAAATTGTTTTGTGATGTACAGTTCCGTAAATTCAATGCTACTCATGTGACCATTAGCTTTATGATGCTAATGTTCCTACAATGGAACTTAAATTTATGATGCTTTCATTAATGTTCTCATTAATAGATTAATACTTTCCTCTTCTAAATACGAGATTGGGAGTGGTTTTAAGTAAACTTATTCATATTCTTTGCTTAATGAATATTCATATAGTATATTCTAAATATAAATTTTGTTTTTTAAAAATATTTAAAATTCTTTATAATGGATAAAAACAATGAACATCATAAACAAATCAAGTTAATTAATTTAGTTTTCGTGATACAGTTATAATTGTAACTAATAATTTAATATTCAGAAAAGGACGAAGTTTTTCCTTGTATTATTTAGATATTTACACTTTCGAACGTTTGTTATACGTTATTTAAAATGCCTCCTTGTTGTTTCAATCAATCGTTTATATACAAGATCCATATGTACTGTACAGTAGACACCCCTATAACACTGTAGATAATTCCGCGTTATATGAATTCCGTGTTGTACGAGTCACTTAGATTTTACAAATACGTGTGCCGGGATGTGAACGGCTCAAGTATTTGTAAAATCTAAGTGATTCGTACAACATGGAATTCATATAACACGGAATTATCTACAGTGTTATGGGGGGTCGACTGTGCATAATAGACTGTACTCTATATTAACACACTTCTGAACTGTTTAACTAAGGTTTTTTAACCCGGGAAATCCCGCAAATTTCTTAAAAGTTAACTTTTTTCTTTTCTTTTTTTTTTAAATTTCCAACTCAATTCAAAGGCATTTTTGTTGTAAGCAGTTTCCAACAAACTTTAATAAATTTTTTCTATTTGTGAAAATTTCTACATAATTCAAAGGTAATTTTTAATATAGGCTATATATATCTTACACAGTATTATTAATATGATTTTGGATGTTACAGAACGTATTAAATTACTTTAAAAAATGAAAAATAATTATATCATTCGATTTTAAGATATTTTGTATACCTTAAAAATAATTAATTCTATTCAAGGAAACAGTTAACTCTTATCCCGGGGATCAAGGGAAACCGTTCACTTTTATCCCTATATTCAGGGAAACCGTTTATTTTTATCCCGGTGATCCAGGGAAACAGTTCACTTTTATCCCGGTATTCAGGGAAACCGTTCACTTTTATCCCGGGATCCAGGGAAACAATTCACTTTTATCCCTATATTCAGGGAAACCGTTTACTTTTATCCCGGTGATCCAGGGAAACAGTTCACTTTTATCCCGGTATTCAGGGAAACCGTTCACTTTTATCCCGGGATCCAGGGAAACAATTCACTTTTATCCCTATATTCAGGGAAACCGTTCACTTTTATCCCGGTGATCCAGGGAAACAGTTCACTTTTATTCCTATATTCAGGGAAACCGTTCACTTTTATCCCTATATTCAGGGAAACCGTTCACTTTTATCCCGGGATCCAGGGAAACAATTCACTTTTATCCCTATATTCAGGGAAACCGTTCACTTTTATCCCAGGGATCCAGGAAAACAGTTCACTTTTATCCCGGTATTCAGAGGAACCGTTCACTTTTATCCCGGTGATCCAGGGAACCACGTTTATCACGGGATTAAGGGAAACAGTTCACTTTTATCTCGGGATCAAGGGAAACAGTTCACTTTTATCTCGGGATCAAGGGAAACAGTTTACTTTTATCCCGAAATCCCGGGACAAGCAAAAGAGCTGGGAATGAGAAACCCTGTGTTTGATCCATCTGCAACAAATTTTTCATAGTTAAGTTACCTTAAAACCTCAACACCCCAACCTCCCCATGACATTTCGTGGTAAATATAACAACGATAGGCTAAAAATAACCAAAGTTTTTAATATGATTTACATTCTACATTTCGTATCTGGATTATGTTAAGCGAATGCAAGTTCAATTTCTTTGTTTAATCCAGGTTTAATCAAACGATTCTTTCCAGGGAGAGAGAGAGAGAGAGAGAGAGAAAGAAAAAAAAATAACACGTTACGGAATAGAATATGTTTTTCTTTGAATAATTTATACTTTTTGAATGAAAGTTTCCTACTCGTATAGAATTCTCTACATTTTTTAAAGTAAGTAATAAATTTTCTTTTACGTCGAGAGTGCTAATTTACTAATATAAATAAATAAAATTATCTTTAAACATAGCAACTCTCGGTTTTCTAAACAAGAAAATTTAATGCTTTGTATTGATTTTTTAAAAAAAATTATTACAAAATTCTTTTAGTTTTAATACATTTTCATAACGTATTACGCTATATAATGATTGATTCTACTTATTATTTCTTATCGTTTCTATCACAAAAAAATAGAGTAACTCAATACATCGTTTTATATTAAAAGATGCTAATAGAAAACTCCATTTTGTCTATGGCGTATGGAAATTAAAACTTCCGCCGCAATTATAATACAATAATACACACGGAATAGTAAATTTTTTGGAACAATACCAAGATTTGATTATTCTCTAAGGGCAATGCACTTTAATTTTAATTTGAATTATGACTCGTAACATCAATCACGTTTTCTACTGAGTAAAGTTACAAAAAAAAAGTACATTGCCTTATTGCCTTAATGTCAATAGATTAATAGAAATTTAATAGATATATCCGATTTTATATCAATATAATTGTTTTATAAGGAATTAAAACCGAACTCGATAGCCGAACGAATAGAAAATGGCTTTAAAAATCAATCCATATTCAAGGTGTGAGCATAAAAGTCATTTTTAATTATAGTAAAAGTTTTACTGTAATTTCAATCGTATAATTTAAAGAAAAATATATACATTTTCTGGAAATTATTGCTATATATAATATTATATGAACATAAAAAAAAAAACATTTACGTTTCGAGAGTTATTTAGTTTATATTACATTACCGAAATGTTTTATTTCTTTTTATTAACGATGGATAACTTCAAAATTGAAACGTCGAAACCATCATCAAGTAAGAGAAGACACGTTTATTTCTTCTCTAATTAATGATCGAAAGAGTAGTTTTCGTGCACGGTTTACCAATTTTCTCATTAAAATTCCACAGAATGGAATGTTTTTATGATCGGAAAATGGCTGGTATGATACGACTTTGTATTTAAATGGATAACTTTGATCTCTAATATTATATATATATATTTTACACTCATTCTTTCCTCGGTAATGTTTTCCTTAATGCTTGATAGATAGATATTGAATAGCATCTTATCTGTAATAAAAACTGTTAAAAAAGTGTAGACAATCTAGCAATTAAAACATTAAATTGAACGATGAGATAATAGTTATATATAATCGCGGAATTATTTAATTTCTATACAATTTTTACACAAGTCGTATTAACTTTCTTTACAAATAAAAACATCCAAATTTAAATACTACACAAATATAAATTCTTCTGTTATCTTTCAAGAGTAATTCCATTACTGTCACTCTGCTACAGGTACACATTTTACAGTACTTTTGTCGCTATAGCAACCCTCTGTAACTGTTTAATGTCTAAACTAACTGAACACCAATGTGGTTGAGAGTGTTTGTCATCGTCCATACGTTCAGATTAAAAAACCTTTATTATTACTAATCATGAAATACTGTTTTCAAATAAATCAAATATTGGATATCTTCAATGTTTTCAATCTATCAAGGTAAGTAGAGAAGTTATTTTGATAATCGATCCCCCTTTTACTTTTGGTTATTGGCCTCGTGTTTAAGCTGAATACATTAAAGATCGTTAAGAGAGAGAGAGAGAGAGAGAGACAATAATTACCTATTCTTAACGTTGTTTAAATATAACAATTACTTTTTTCTTAAAAGTGTTCTTATTAAATTAACTCGTATCTTTAGAGGTGCATCTCTATTTATTTAAGGGAGGAATTTTTGATAAAGCCACACCTAATCAACCCATTTATATATATATATATATATACTTTTTATATAGCTTTAGCATTTAATTATTTTTATATCTACGCGAATTTCAAATGAAGATTTAGATTAACGACATTGTTTAGATTAATCAAACATAAATGAATCATACTTTACTGTTTACGGGTCAACGTAAAGCAAAATAAACTCAATATAAATATCCTATTTACATATATTATCTGATATATATTACTTTCGAATGGTAGAATTTGTGTTTATCTTTTCGAATTTATTTAATTATCAATATATTATTTTTTTTATTTTGTAGGATTAAGGAATTCATTCAAAAGTTGAGTAAAAAATGGAATAAATTTTATTTAAAATTTATTTTTCAAAATCAATGATAAATAAAAAGAAAGGAAAAAAAATATTTATTTTAGTCACGTTATATTTTGTATCCAATTCTATAACATTTTGTAAAAGTTTCAAGTGATAGATCCTCTTGAAAAACAGAAATACAGTATGCGTGACTAATGATAGCAACCAAAACTAAACACGAACTATATCTAGAGTTTTCTTTAATTCATTATGCGATACTTGATGAATGTAAGGTTAAATTCTTAAATGCAGCTCGTTTTTATTAATTAAAAGTCAATTCTTTATTATTCCAGTGATAGCTTTTCACTACAGAAATGCATTGAGCAAGATAGAAAATATTATATATATATATATTTTTCTATCTTCTCCAATAGTAAAAAAAAAAATTAAAATTAAATTAATTTAAACAGCATAAAATATATTTCTGAAAGTAAAATTATGTATTTTTATTATGTAAAACAGCAGCTTACTTTATAATTATACGTGCATATCCTAACGGTGGCCATTTTTTTTTTCGTGAACACCGAAAAGTATGCACGCAAAATAAGCTGGGAACAACGATCGTTTTTTTGTGAACACTGAGAAATATGAGCACAAAATAACCCCCGAATAACGGCCATTTTTTCGTACTGAGAAATATGCACACAAAATAACCTCCGAACAACTCCTATTCTTTTGAGAATGATGCACACAAAATAACCTCCGAACAACGGCTATTCTTTCGTGAACACCGAAAAATATGCACACAAAATAACCTCCGAACAACGGCTATTCTTTCGTGAACACTGAGAATGATGCACACAAAATAACCTCCGAACAACGGCTATTCTTTCGTGAACACCGAAAAATATGCACACAAAATAACCTCCGAACAACTCCTATTCTTTCGTGAACACTGAGAATGATGCACACAAAATAACCTCCGAACAACGGCCATTCTTTCATGAACACCGAAAAATATGCACACAAAATAACCTCCGAACAACGGCCATTTTTTCGTGAACACTGAGAAATATGCACATAAAATAACCTCCGAACAACGGCCATTCTTTCGTGAACACTGAATATTATGCACATAAAATAACCTCCGAAAAACGGCCATTCTTTCGTAAACATTGAGAAATATGCTTACAAAATAACCTCTTAACAACGGCGCTTTTTATGTCCCCGTCAGTGGCCGTTGTTGAGAGGTTTAACTGCGTTACATTTTTTTAAATAAAAAAAAACTATGTATAAGTTACACCCTGACATACTGACTTATTATAATATTTAAAATTACAAATATAAATTTAACAAATTCTTAGAATCATAATTCAATATATCTTGTATATATTATTATATAAACAAGCTATACTATAAAATATATAAAATTCATGATTTATAAGTATTAAAAATATAAAATTTTCAAAACGATTTTTATTTCAATTCTTTATACATGTCATGTGCTACTTAACGAGAGAATTTTATTGATGTTAACTCATAAATATATGATGATGCAAATAATATGCATGAGTAATGTAAACAAACGAATATATAATTATAAAATGTTTAAAAATTGGAAATTATCAATTTTCTTTATTTACACGTCAATATCAATATTAAATAACCCGTCGTAAACATATTCACATAGATTTTTACGCCTGTAGAAGTTTTAAATATCGATTTTTACTGGATTTACATAATCTGTATTAGGAATATTCAAATATTCAAATATAAGATTTTCATTCGAAAAATTCAATTCCAACAGGTTTATATTTAACTCGAAAGTCGTCTTAAAGGAGTTTTTTTCATAGTTTTGTATTGTTACTTCCATTAAAATGTCTTCTCTTGCTAGGTTGCGACCGAAGTTTTCATCTCTAAAACGTGAACGTGAACGTCAAACGTGAACTAAACGTCGAACGTCAAACGTGAACCAAACGTCGAACGTCAAACGTGAACGTAAATGTGAACCAAACGTCGAACGTCAAACGTGAACGTAAATGTGAACCAAATGTCGAACGTCAAACGTGAACGTAAACGTGAACCAAATGTCGAGCGCCGCTTACTTGACGTTTGACGTTCACGTTTTAGAGATGAAAACTTCTGCCGCAACCTCTCTTCTTCATCAAAACGTGTGTAATATCGTTTGTAAATTGAATTAAATGCACGTTTTACGTATTTAAAGTTAATTAACTGATGTTAATCGTAAAACAATACTTTACAGCATGAAGAATGAACTCTGAGTTGGAATCAGCTCTTCCTCCAGTTAAATTGGTTGGCAAGAATTCTGTCAAATATGGACATCCACCGTCTGCTCGGTAAGTAGTGTGTGTGTATATACATGACATATCGACTATCAATCTTAGTGTATCTGTTCTGGTGATGAGTGACGACTGGTAAGAGTCTTTGGGTTTATATTTTTCACACTTTTACGCCTACGTTGACTGTTTTATAACGATTAAAAGTAGTTTAAATGATGATACCTCCAATTGTTTAAGCGTATTGTTGACTTATTAATATGGCATTAATAGATTTTAATGTGTAAATTTATTTAAAAAAAGAGTCACTTGTTGTAAACGGAAACTTACGATTATTGATTTAGTTTTGCACTTAATAATAAGAGGTAAAAAAAAATTCATTGAATATTTAAACACGCATTAAACACGTTAAGATTCTAGTATAAGTTGTATGTTAATTGATAAACTTGGACAAACTACCTCGTTAGCGGTGTAATAAATACAGTATTATCCTCTTTTAATTAGATTTTAATACTGTTGAATAATTAAATTGAAATTTTTCTTATTAACACGTGCAAATGCCATCTTTATTAATAAATTTATGAATTCAATTCACTTACATGAATATTTGATAATTAAAAATGAATTCCGTGGCTTCGGTTTCCTGGTTTAATTTAATTTTAAAATTTTTATAGGATAGGCTACTGTAAATTGGAAACAATAAAATTGGAATTATATATTCTATAATTTGTTGGTAAACGAAATTAACAATGCTTTTATTATTCATTCGTGCCATTGAAACTGATACTAATTACAGTTAGACACCTCCGAGAGAGGTAACTGACAGGAAAAATGGACGTCTTTATGTGTTATTTAGGCCCGTAAGAAGCTATTGTTATTATTCGAGTCGACGTTATAGCTTTTCGACCATCTCTTCCATCAGTCAAAATAGCTTTCTAAGAAAGTATAGCTTTCTGAGATCCATTCATTCCCCAAAGATGACAGTAAGGGATAACCTTACTCTGTTTACAATCTTTGAACGTTGATCTTCTAGTGATTGTGATGATAAGAGGTAAAAGGTCTTCGCTTTGTAGAATTAAAGCGAGTAATTAAATAAATAATGAAGATTCCTCATCATCGCGATCATCATTTTCTTCTTTGCGAGTCCAATTTAATCCTCTCAGCATTCACTTTAGTAGAGGAAAATTGAGAATGATGAGAGTGGGGGGAGTTTATCCTTCGCAAAATCCATTTTTATTGTCTTATTTATTTAAACATATACACTAGAATCAATACAGTAGATTGTTTCGGATAAAAAGGATAGATTTACTTAAATATAAATAAATAATTGTAATTTTTTTACAGGTTCAACAGGGTATCGGAAAGGCTCCGAAAAACCGCATCGAAGGATCTTCAATGTTCTATATTTTGCGCTGGAGGAAGATGCAAATATGAAGGATCTGCGAATTGGTGTAAAGAGGATATGGCCATCGATGGTATATATTCGCATTGGTAAGTTATCATTTAAAAGTGGTTTAGTTTATTAAAAATCAATAAGATATCTGCAACATAAAATACGATTTAAATTGATTCCTCGGAAAGTAGAGGCTCGTTTTTGCTCTTAAACAAGTTTCTTGCGTGATGATAAATATCTTAATAATTTACGAAGAGGTCTTCAATTATATAAAATTACCACGCAAAAATACAGACGTACGTATCTTGTACACTTCTTTTTCTACGATGCCACATTGGAAATTCCATCGAAAAAATAAGAAGAATCTATTGCAATTCTTTTGTACGAGAGTAAAAAACAAAAACAAATTACCGATCGTAATACTAAGTTTTGTATAAAATGATATTTAATTCTGGGTGTGGTTTGCTTTGTACAACTGTTTAAAAATAATAATCCGAGATAGGAAATTTTAATTTCGAAGAAGAGCTCCACGTACTCGTGTTGCGTGTTTATTTGCAAATTGACGCCACTGTTACTATGGTAGCATCTGCATCATTAATGCTACTAAGCCATTAACACATAACGAAAATTAAGTCACGATTTTGTTTGCAGAAAATACATACGTATAATATATATTCGACACATTCTACCAGTTAAGATCGGGATATTTTTATACTAATGAGGCAAAAAAAAATGATTATTTTAGTTAAATATTCTACTTATAAAAAACATATAGGCCTATATATATATATACAGTAGACCCCTAGATAATTCCGTGTTGTACGAGTCACTTAGATTTTACAAATACGTGAGCCGTTCACAGCCCGGCATACGTATTTGTAAAATCTAAGTGACTCGTACAACACGGAATTCATATAACACGGAATTATCTAGTGTTATAGGGGAGGGGTATACTGTATACGAGTATATAATGGTAAAATTAACACGATTATTTATTTATTAATATATTTATACCAATATTTCCATTAACAAGGGTAATGTTTGTTTACTATTCCCAAAGGTATAGACTGTAGACCTATTTCTACTTACACACAAACTAGTATAACAATCGATTCTTCGATAAGTGTTACGAAGTGTGTACACCGAATTGATGATATTATTTATAATTCAGCACATAGAAACAATCTTTACAAATGTTAAAAACGGGTTTTTAATACATTATATTAATTTTATTTATTTATTTATTTATTTTTTATTTTAAGGATCACCAGCGATATATTGGCCATGTCAAGACCAAGTGCGGAAGTCATACAAAAGTTTAAAGTCATTCAGCAGTTTAAGGAGTGAGTATTTAAATAAGTAGTAGTAGTAGTAGCTGATTAAAAATACAATTGATTAACACGAGATGTGCACGTATTTAATTTCAGTAACGGCATAAAATCGTTAATTAATTTGCAACAGAGAGGAGAACACTCGAAATGTGGAAGTCCTTTATTAGAGTCGGGATTTACGTACGATCCTCAGCTTTTTATGGATAACGATAGTAAGCACTTTTTTTTTATACGATTTTATTATTGTTATAATGATTTTTATGCAGTCATAATTAGCAAAAACGAATAAAAATTAATCAGGGAAACGTAGAAACCTTTTTGTTTTACTGTACAACTCATTTTTTTTTCTATCTTACAGTTTTTTATTACAACTTCCAATGGTGAGTAATCTGTATGGAAGTTTAATTAGGGGTTAACTTTTTTAGAATATTATATAATTTTAGTCTTTAAATCAAGTCGTTCTTTGTATAGGAAGGACTACGATATCGTGTCGCATGCAACGTTAGCAGATATGGTAAAAGTGATGACTTTCGCTCTTTCTGAAGGAAAAGTGAGTCTTGTTTTACTGGATTACGATTCAATGTAATGTTTTACTACTTTATTTATTTATCGTTACTTTTAGATAGCCGTACATTGTCACACCGGACAGGGTAGAACGGGGGTGCTGATTGCTTGTTTTCTCGTTTACACTTTACGCTGCAAACCGAATGACGCTATCAGATATGTCAGACTGAAAAGGTAAGAATGGTGTATAATTTTCCTAAATAATTTACCTGTTAAAATATTCATACGGGATTTATTGTGCAGGCCTCTATGCATTCAGACGAAAAGTCATATCGAATGCGTCCAACAGTTTGCTCAATTTGTTGTCCCTTTGTTTGTTATATTCGCCAATGTGTAAGTATAGATACGCGGCTATTGTTATCGAAGCATTATAAATAGTATTGTTTTTTATTTTTTATTATTTAGAATACCGCGATCTTATGGATTTACCATAAATCAATTTCTGAAACGTCAGAGGTTTTTGTTGCACGGTGAAGAAGCCAGATTATTGAAGTATATACCAAAGATCGTGTATATTATCTGCGAAAGGCTGCTAGTTCTTCACGAACAGAGGAAAAAGAAATTCCCCGATTCCGGTGTGGAAATCTCGTCGTGTGGTAACGAATGTAGTGAATTACGTAACACACCCGGCTATTTTTCTGCATCTTCCCACAAGTGCCACTGGTGTCGTTTATCTCAATGGACTATAGAACTGTCATCCGAAAATGCATCTTCCAAACCTTCATTAACAGATAGCAACGTCACAGCAACCGTAGTGGATAACAATGTACAAAATCCACCAGAAGAAGATAATTTCGATACCCACGTAAGCGAAACACCTGAAGTGATAGGTGATGCCGTGCTCGAACACTTAAACAGTTTGTATCTCGGAGCACCCACCACTCACAGGAACCAGATCCTACCTTGTAATGGCAATTACGAGTTCGACGACGATTTCAATTGTGATATATACGATAATATCATCGATACAATGTTAATAGACGATTCTTCGCCGGATGATCTCTTCGGCCATACCGGATATAGTGTATATCCACCTCGACCCCCATCCGAATTGAGCACTAGTGATGCCGAAGACGAAGCCAACGAAAACACAGTGGACATTGCAGAGGCACTACTTACGGATCATCAGGTGTTGGGGAGCGAATACAACAGTAAAATCAGACACATACAGGTGGGAAATCGATTAAATTTTTGTACGAATTACCAAAAAAAAAAGTTATTCTAAAACGGATATTTAACCATTAGAAAGATCTAAACAACCGTAATTCGGCGTGGGAAGAACTTTCCGCAGAAACCAATGCCATTTTTCTTTCAGGATTATTATGGTCGTGGTTAGAACATTTGAGGGTAAGTTTTTACCTGTTTTTTTATTTATTTTGATTACGTATATTAAGATTGCGCCGCTTTCAGATTCCGGTTCTCAGCATTCAGGATCTAGCAATAGTTGTGGTTTGGGCCAAAAAACCAAGGGAGTGCCTTCTTAGGCTTGACAACGTAGGTTTCACAATCAGTTATTTATTATGCTAATGATAGTATGTAGTTAATACTTTAAATATATCATCAAATAGGGTACGCGATACACGACGGAGTACTTAATACGTTTTATCGCTCGTCTTCGTCCTGCAACTAATGAGTTGCTGGAGGAGTTGCTTCGTCGTTTGGTTGCATCCCTCGTCCAACAGACACTTTGCATCAGGGGAGTGCAACGTCCGGTGGGTAATCAGTGGGGGAAATTAAGAGAGGGAACAACCGCCGAAGTCATGAGTTTCGTGCACGGTTTGTATGAATTAGTGGTGAAGAAACATTTAGACAATGATAAAATATGAATTGTGATATTCTTCCTTCCATAAATTTGTACAGAAAGTCATAATTTTTGATATGAAAGTTTTCCTATCATGATGTAAATAAAACACCACGCAAGTAATAAAGAACAGAAAAAGAAACATTGCATTTTTACATGCAGCTTAATGTGTACGAGTTGTTAATGTGACGTTAATATCGTGTTAAAGGGTTTTTTTAAAAGTGTTCGAGCGTGTTAAACCGATAAATCATTAAATTACACACTACGATACGATTTAATCGATTTTACCAATGATAATGCGTTTAGATAGGAAGATCGATTTTTAAAATTGAAACTCCTTTTTTTATATATATATATACTAACGAGAAAATAAGTTTAAACGCTATCTCTATAGTTACCGATGGCGTTATGAATATTAATATAGGTAATAAACGCAACTTAGTTTAAAATGCCAGCTCTTAATTATGCATAAAATAAGAAAACAATGAAAAAAAAAATGTGTTAGGCAGATGTAGAATGTACATTTTTATTATCAGAATATATACAAAAGAAAGCTAACTACAATTGCCATCCCAACTACCTCACTTAAATAATCACAAAGGAAAGTAAAACTGAATATTTACAATGAAAATCAACATGAAATCACTTATTGTCTTTAAATCACAATTCTAATTAATCACTAATCCATTCTCTTTTAAACAATTGGAGATTTGTTTGTTTTATCTTCTTTTCTTCTTCTTCTTCTTCTTTCAATAAAAGTAAAATCTATACTAAGATCATTGATGATGTACAAATTTTCTCTTTTTTTTTTTATATATATATTTATATTTATATGCATATGTATAGACATGTAAAAAATACATTTTAAGTACTTTTTTTTTCAAAACAATAAATGGGCATAAAATTATTCTTTTTTTCTCTTTTTTGTTTTCTTCGTTAATAAGATAAAACAATACTGTACATTGTAACAAATATGTTTAAAACATTAAATAAGTACAATTAATGAATTACTGTACAGATGAAATTATACAATGCCAAGTATGAATATTAAGGTTGGGTTTGCGTTTAGAAATTAAAATTTCGAGAAATTCTTGTTTGTTGGTCTGGTGTTCGAATTAGCTTGAATTAATCCTTTTAAGAATAGGATGGTCTAAATGTGTACGGGCACCTGTGACGTGTTAACGTACAATTATCGTACAGTCTACCTTAATAAATTCTCTTCTATTTAATAGAAGTATTCTGCACCGTTCTTAAAAGGATTAATGCGCCGGTTAATTCGAAATTATTTAATTATAATTACTGTAAGTGGCTTATATATTTGTTTTTTGTCAATTCAATGAATGAAAATGTATTGTACAAATGAAATTTCCAAATATACAACATAAAAATCTGATAAATTATAATTGTAAAACTGACAAAGTTCGTATGAATATTTTACAAAAAGAAAAAAAAATTTTTTTTATATAATTAAAAATAAAAATAATAATAATA